TTATATAAATGAAATTATGATTAATATGTATAAGTCTATTTACATAATAGTTGAATATAATAATAGTATATTTACTAAATGACCAAAAACATGAGTTTCAATCATTTTTTAGTACAACATGATAAGAAAGACAATATTAACCGATGTTGTTCAAACAAGCATAAGACAACTAAAAGGTATTACCGTAGCAATTGGGGTTATGTATTTTCAGTTTATGGGGGGTAGTATGGGACCCATAGTCGGGGAGAAAATTACTCGTTTGATTGAATACACAAAGTTGGGATCATAAAAGTTAGTTGAGAAATTGTGAAATTGGATTTTACCGACAGTGCAGCTCCCCTACTTTGCTAATGTATAACTCACAAACTGTAAGTCGTAATAAGCTCGTATCTTGCAACCACTTTCATGAAGGGTCGAAAGTCAGTTATGACTCTAATTGGCTCGAAACAGTGTGTTTTTGAGGTTGTTTACACTGTATTTGGGATTAATTTGTTTTTTTTTGTAAAATTCGTATAAAATATATGGATAATCAAAATGAGGTGGGTAGATTCATATATCAAAGATAATACTGATTCTTATGAATTTAATATATAAATGTGATCATCGATTCATTTAGCTAACTTCAATAATTTAAAAAAAATTATCATCATCGCGCAACGCGCGATGTCAAACACTAGTTAATGATAAAATAAAAAAATAGACATTTATTTTAGAAAACGAAAAAATCGATGAGTTATTAAAAAAAACATTTAAGAAATAAATTTATTTTTTATTTTTTATTTTTAAACAAAAACGTATAACAAGTTAGCTGATTGACACGTGATTTGATTGCGTAACCACGTGATCCAAGTCAGCAGCGATCATCTTCAAAGCAAGGGCAAAACGGTCAAACTAAAAGAACAACTGAAATCGAAAGGAGTTCCCGCCTGCCACCAGAAACAAACCCTCCCACGGATTTCTGCTAAAATTTCAAAATTTTTGAAACCCTAAAAATCAAATCCCTCTCAAAATCCAAGCACTTAAACCCCCACATCCCGCCATTGTCAACGACCTTCCATCTCTCTGTAAACCACATCTCTAGATCTACCTACTGCGTGAACACATGGCGTTGCCTTTGCCGTCACCTTCATTACCCGCTAAAGAATCGGCATCTGGATCTACTACTTACTGCCGGAAGCAGAAATCTCTCGGTCTATTGTGCTCCAAGTACGACATTTTTAAGTTTTATGGCATGAAATTTGTAGCATCACTGGAAATTATGTCCGATCTATGTGTTTGTTAATTATGTTTATGTATTGCTTTGTACAGTTTTTTGAGCTTGTACAATCGAGATGGAGTTGAAACTGTTGGATTGGACGAAGCAGCGGCGAGATTAGGTAGTTCGGTGTTTTTGATGTTTCAGGAATTATGTAGATTGAGATTTATATTTTCAACCTTTTGGTTTTCGTGTCAATTTTGAAGTTATTGCGATTGATGATAAGTTATTGGATTTCAGGCGTGGAGAGACGAAGGATTTACGATATTGTCAATGTCTTGGAAAGTGTTGGTGTATGATTTCTTCCTATTTTTTGGTTTTCTTTTAAGTTTTCTGAGGAGAATTTGAGAAATTTTCAGATCTGAGTTTTTGAGGTTTCAATTGTGCAGGTTCTTGTGAGAAAGGCAAAAAATACGTACTATTGGAAAGGAATGGGAGCAATTCCTAAGGCCTTAGAGCAGCTAAAGGTGAATAATATTATTGCATTGGCATAATTTAATACAAAACTATACTTTTTGAGGACCAAATTATTGGCTTTGAGTGGGCTTATAAGACTAGATATTGTTGTATGTTTGATCTAATTGCTTATCATATTACCTAATTGTGTAACAGGAAGAAGGTTTCAGGAACAATGACGAAACAATTGATTGTAAATCTGGAAAGGTAAATTCACTATGGGATTACAATTTAGTTATTGTTATTTCCACGGCTCAACCTTTATGAGGAATTAGAAAAAGACGCTTAAATTTCATATTTGCTCTTTAGATTTCGGATGATGATGAAGATGAACGATTCTCCAATCATAGTGCTTCCTTCCAGGACAAAGTAGATCTGGATTCTATGCATAAAGTTCCAGGATCCTTCAAATCAGGTACTCTTTTAGTCCATCGGAATTGCAACAATTCTTTTTTTAAAGGTTCAATGATTTTTCTTCTTCATAAATTTCATGTTTTTGTTGCTCATTTAACCTAGAATCACTTTTTTTTGGGGGCAAAAATTGATGAAACTAACATAAATTCATAAGATTTTTATTTTTTAAAGCAAAATAAATAAACTATCATTGATGTTTTAATGGGTTTTCAGTTGCATATCTCAACAAAAGTATGATCAATCATATATCTCTATGTTTACCATCAAACAGCCAGTTACATCACTTGACTTTTGATCCAATTATCTAGTATAAATGGTTAAATTTGTCACAAAAGAGTGACTAAACAAAAATGCTTGTAATCTCAACTCTGTGTGTGTGTGTGTATATATATATATATACATATGTAGGGATGTTGTTTGTATGCTTGTAAGAATGTAAACATGAGATTAATAATCTATTGAGGCATGCAGTTGAAAAAACTACGGACAATTTTGAATTATTTTGCAAGTCAAATGTTTTAGATTGCAGTTTGTTTGCCGTACCAAAGAACTCTTTTGCTTTGCTAGAATCAAACCAAGACATTGTATGAAGAAAGACAGATGCCGTGTTCTTTGGTTTCAAAAGGGATGTTTATTGACATTTGATCCCCTATATAATTTCTTTAACAGAAAATCGGAAAGAAAAATCATTGGGGCTTCTTACTAAGAACTTCCTCAAGCTTTTCCTATGCACTACTGTGAGTAAATTATTCAATTACTCCTTCGTTCTTTAAATTTTGTTCTGCAAACGTTTCTTGACAAGTTCTACTTCCACTTTTTGCACATTGTTTTAGTCGGATATGCTTTCTCTTGAGGATGCTGCAAAAATATTGCTTGGAGATGCTCGGAATCCATCATTGACAAGAAGTAACGACTCTTGACATTTCTTTGAATTTATAAATCTGAAAAATATAATATATTGCAGCTAATGGGTAGTTTTGATATTTGCTGCAGCTAAAGTCAGGAGGCTATATGATATTGCTAACGTGTTGTCTTCCATGAACTTTATTGAGAAGGTAAACTGTCTCCTGTGATTATGGCAAATTGGCGATATCCTTCTTATGTCACTTGCCCTAAATAACTGGTGTTTCGTGTTAGAGTTGTTCAAGGAGAGTATGGTCCGCATGGCCTGTTAATAAACGGGTTTAGACGATTATTCTTGAAAGAGTGGATGGGTCCGGGCTCGACTGATAAAATTAACCGGGTTGGTTCGGACGATAAATATAGTTTTGGACAGCCTGCCTGCCTTGTTTATATATTTATAATTATTAATTAAATTAATATATATTATTAATACTTCATTATTATTTTTATTAAAAAATTTATAACACTTGCTTGCTTTGGGGTGGACTCCCCCTATACTCTACTAACTGCATCTCACGCATATAATATATGTGATGAGTCATATATTACCTCTCAGATTTCGATATTGACTCTTTATAAATCAAAATCTCATATCCCAAAATCTTTAAGCCACGTGTTGTCATGTTTTTGGGTCTTATTTCGGTTAGGAAGAGAATTATGTATTTTATAACTTAGATTTTATATAAGTTTTATATTTTTAAATGTGAAATTATTTAGGCCTCTTAGCCCATGGTCAAATCTGGTCCTTAAATAGGTTGGGTAATTGGGTAATAAGGGCAAGTTATCAAGCTCAGAAGAGCGCGTTTGAGTTCGTTATATTAGGTCCGTTATATGTGTTCTACCCTTTGTTATCTCTATTTCATGTGTTCTACCCTTTGTTATGGAGGGCATATTTGCATGCATCCCACCTCTAGACCCCATTTTAGGTGATAGAAATTTGTTTTGTTTGTTACTCATCCTAAATCTTTTCTTCATGATGAGCAGATCCACCACCCAGAAACCAGAAAGCCTGCCTTTAGGTGGCTGGGAATGAGAGGTCGGACAGATAGCGAAACAGGAACAAGCAATGCTTTAGTTCATAAGGAATCCAAGAAAAGGACATTTGGGACCGAACTTACAAACATTTGTTTCAAAAGAAACAAGCTGGTTTCGCCTATTGATGTGGGTATAAACGAGGACATCAAACCGTTGGATCCTCAAGGCGGAAGCCAGCCTGTCAAATGCAATACTGACAGGTGCAATTCAGATCAGGTTCCTGAACAGTTTGGTCCTTCGGTTCCCCCCATCTGTCTGCCTAAATCTTGTGATGAGGAGAGTAACGAAGTAAAGAAGAGTCATGATTGGGAAAGTCTAGCCTCGACTTATCGTCCACAGTATCACAATCAAGGTATCTTTTGAGCTTTACTTTGTCTATCTTGCTTTATTAGCTTACTAGTTTGAGAAATGCACATAATTCTTCACATCAAACATGCCTAATGTTACACATTTTAAGTTTGTAGGGATCCACTTAAATGATATTTGATACGTGTGTTATTCACAAACATAGCCATACTTGAAGATGAGATATTACAAAATATAGCCATCTTTTTGCAAAGGAGCACAAAAAAGCCACTGTTTTTGCAAAAAGCCCCCTTTTCCCGGCAAATCCCCTTTATAAGTTTTTTGTTTCTTTTTGTTTTTCTGTTTTGTGGGTCTAACTACAACAAAATTAATAGTCTTATAAACTTTAAGTCCTAAAAAGTACTTGTGCAATACAACTAGATAAATCTTGATTCTAATGTTTAGTTTTTATTCTTGGTTTCTATCGATATAATACGATTTTATGTGGTTTTGAGAAAGTGATAATATTTGTATTTTTGAATGAAATATAAATTTGAAGATAACATAAAATTTTGAAAAAAAATAAATCTACATTAGTATCAAATTAACTTTTCAATAGTTCTCTTTTTTTAATGTAAGTTCTTTAATTCAAATTTTTATTATAATTCAATTTAGATTTAATAATAAAATAATTTATTTTTGATTTAATAATATAATTTTTTATAAAGATAATAATTAAATATTATGTTAGAATTCAATTATTATCTTAATTATATCTTAGATTTTTTATGTTCAAAATGAATATTTATCTTGTATTTGATTATATTTATCTGCAGTTAGTTATACAAATTTAAAAATAGAGCTTTAATAAATTGTATTTACTTAAAATTACTTGTAATCTTTAATTTCAAGTAATATGTATCAATAAACAGTATTTCATGTATAAAAATAGTTTTTAAGAGTTTTTGTCAAATACTTTATAATATAGTATAATTTTTTTAGAATGCTTCTATATTTTAGCTATCCTATAAAATCAATTATGTTGTAATGTCTATTATACAACACTCTAATTTTTTGTGAACCCATTTTGCTAATAAATTTGCATAATAGGCCCATAAAATGTAAACCCCCCACAAAATAGGTTTAGAAAAAAATGCGCTTTTTGCAAAGCTGGTGACTATTTTATTGTAAAAATGAGAAAAGCAATGGATTTGATAGTAATGTAAGTTGAGTTATGGTTGATGAATGAAAATTTGAATTTGACATTGCAGCATTGAGAGATCTTTTTGTTCATTACATGGATGCATGGAAATCATGGTATTCTGAGGTTGCTGAAATGGATCCAATCCAAGTAATTTAGAGATCCCTTTGATTCTTTTGGTTGAGATTGATTTTAAGAAGTGATGGCTAGAAATGGCCATCCTCACCACCAGAATGAACATAAGCTTATTACCTATTAGGGGAGAGGGAGAGAGACAAAATTGTATGTGTGTTGTTTTTTTGTAGCTTCTTTCATATCTACAAGCATGCCCTTTTAGGGTAGGGTTGGGGTTTGTTGTACTAGCAAGAGTTACCCCAATAGAATTCTATTGTTTGTCCTTAATTATATAGTATATCATTTTATTGATTGGCTAAGATTTATAGTCTAGGTCTGCCTGACTGAGGCCTAAAAAGCTTGAGCTAATGAGCTTTAAGGGTGCGTTTGATGCGCAGACAGGACATGACAGCTGTTTAGCGTTTAGTAAGACATGACAGGACAAGACAGAACTAGTTAAAATGACCAATTTACCCCCAGTGAGCTATTTAGTGTTTTTTTTTTACTAAATAATAGATATAAATGTTTATAAATGCTATTTAAAAATACCAAAAAAATTCCAAAATCAATTTTAATTAAAAACTCACATTCATAAATCAAAAGATTTAAACATCATATTCACCAACAAAAATTGAATATTGCTATAATTTGGTAAAAGCTCTCATGTGCAGCAATCAAAATATGTTCAAGAATATTGCTGTAATTTGGTGTTGAAATGCAGGACAGTACATATAATAGTCAATAGTCTCTCTTTATGTTTGTGTTCACAATCTTCTGATTTTTATGTTATTATTTGTGATTGTGGATTATGGCATAGTGAATAGCCTCATAAACCATGATATTTTGGGTCACCCACAGAAGGGCATAGTAACAAAAAACAAAAACAATGAAAGTGATAAGTTAAACAGCCGATTTAGCACTACAAACAGCTGATATTTTGGGATTGCTTGATTAAGCAGTCGATTCAAGCAAAGCAAACCCTAAATCGATTCAAACATAGCAACCCTAAATAGTGATTCAAATATAGCAAACCCTAAATCGTTTCAAACATAGCAAATAGCCGATTTAGGGCAATAAAGCAAACAGAGGGCAATTGTGTACCTGATGAAGGAGAAGGTAGGGTGCGATGGAATGGAACTTGTCGAGATAGGGCAATAAAGCAAATAGCGGAATGTGTGTATGGAACTCGTCGAGATGAAATCAGGCGGATTGTCGAACTGGCGTCGCCGGTCACCGATTGATGAAGGAGAGGTAGGGTGGGATGGAATGGAGGAGCGATGGAATGGAGGACCGACGGGGAAGGACGCACGAGATGAAGTGAGGGTAGATTAGTAAAAAAAAAAACCTTGTTCTACTTAGTTCTAGGGGGTAAGAGTGAACACCCGTGTCCCACCCTTGTTTAGGTTAGTTCTATTTAGTTCCACATAATAACACACCAAACATGAGACAAGTGTGTCCTGTCCTGTCCAGGCCCACCCTGTTCCACGCACCCTAAGGGATTGTTTGTTTACTTCTTAATAATTATATAAAGAAATAACATCTGAATCATTAAGAGGTGAATCTTGTTTGACAAAAAAAAGTCTTTTAATGGTTTTAAAACTCTTTGAATGATTTTGTATCTTGAGTCTTTCTTAATCATTAAACGCCCTGATTTCATTGTAAACAATTACTAAATAATTATATTTCATTTTACACTATATCTTGAAAGTCTCTTAATCATTCAGATCACTTAATCATTTTGTATCAAATCATTCGACAATTGCCAAACAATCCCTAAGTTTAGTTCAAGCCTTAAAGCTGGATCAGAGACTGATATCTTATGGGAGGCCTAGGCCCAACAAGAAAGAGTTTGGTAAGGTTGTTCGGCTTGAAAAAGCCTGGACCTTTTTAATTCACTAAAAATAGACTTGGTAAGAGTTGAAGTGATTGAACTTAGAAAATATCCAATTGAAGTTATTTAATGATAATCACATTAACAATTTTTGAAAGTAAATTATGTTATGTTTTATGTCACAGTGGCTTATTGGTTTTGAAAAATTTCTATGGTTTATAACTTATCATTGTTTTTATTCTTTTTGATTTAAACTTTATTGTTTTTTTCATCCATGTAATTATGTAAGTAGTAGTTAATCTTAACATTAAGACGAAAATAAAAATAAATTACAAAGTATAGGAACAAATTTAAAACTATAGCGACAAAATTCACAATTTCTAACAAACCACATGTTTTGTTCAACTTCAATAGATTCCTGTTTTGTTTTAGAGGATACAACATTAATTATAATATTAAAATAAATAATTCATTCATTTATATAATATTTTAATTCTATACCAAACTAATTATTTTCTATTGGTTAAAATATACTAAAAAAATATTTCTCACATGCTAATCATTTTTAGGCTATTCTTCATATTTGGAGAAAAAACCCATTGTATTTCCTACTTTCTTCATTTTTGAGGTAGTTTTAGGAAATCTGTTAAAACATAAAATTGATTAAAAATCTCAATTTTCCGTATTTTAAAGAATCTTTTGGAGATTTACCTTTGTCGGACATGCTTTAATGCTTTAGACATTAGACATTAGAAGAAGTGGTTGTAGATTAGAATAGTCGTTTGCAATGCAAGTAGCAAATGTCGTTTGGGGGAGGGTCGAGAGTCTTGGGATAAGGTTTCTTTTCTTTTGAGCATTTGTGCTCATTGCATTGTCTTAAGTTGGTAATAGCTATTACTCATTACACACCCAAAACCCCAATATCCATTTCAATCAAAATTTGAAAACCGAAATATGTGACTCCAATACGCCCCTTAACATATGCTTAGACTAAATTGCATTTCTCACTCGAGTTGATACCATACAAGGATATTTGGAAGTGAAGGGGTGTAAACGAACCGAGTCAAATAGTAGATGTTCGAGCTTGAATAACTTCTCAAAACACCTTGATTAACTTGTTTATTGGCTTGAGCTCAACAATTTTTATATTTTTTTATCGTAAGATAAATGAACATGTTTGGCTCGAAAAAGTGTATGCTCGAATGGCTCGGCTCATTGATACTGTGAAGCTCATGCACGTTCAATTAGACGAGTTATATTTTGTGTTCGAGATCGACCTGAGCTTGAATAGCTTGTTAAAAGCTCAAATCATTTACATTCCCATGTGGAAATCCCTTGAATCTCTCTATAAAAAAAGCCTTAGAGAGAGAGGGGAGGGGGGG